TAGCTCTTCTCAGCAATACAATGATCTAAGATAATTCCAAAAGTCTTATAATGGAAAATGCCACCCATATCCAGAAAAAGAACTATGGAGTTTGAATGCAGATAGAAGCATTTTACTTTCTCTTTTTTCTTTTTTTTTCTTTTTTGTTCTTTCTTTCTCGTGGTTTTTCCCTTTCATTCTGATTCTTCTTTCACAACATGACTAATGTGGAAATATGTTTAATATGATTATGTGTGTAAAACCTCTATCAGATTGCACACCATCTTGGGGAGGGGGGGAATTTAAAACTCAAAATCTTATAAAAATGAACATTGAAAACTAATAATAACTAAATAATTCTTTTTAAAAGGGATTTTATTTTATTGACCAGCAATATATTTTTGAGTTTCATTATCTCAAAAGGGTACAACTGGTTCAAGAAACATTTGAATAAATTTGTGGACAACAACTTGGCAGGAACCTGAAAGGAATGACTTCCAAGACTTTATTCATGGTGACTGAATTTCAAAAACTTTATTTTGTCATTCAGCATGGGTGACTATCAACTAATCCCTTTGAATTCCAGTGACATAGAGGGCCTTCCAAACCCACTCATGGGGAGAAAGGATGTATAACAATCTGTTGTGTTGCTATATGGATTATAAAGGATTGAAAGGAGATCTGTCAATTAATCTGGAAGTGAGGGTGGGGAGCAGGCCGCCCTGGGAACCAAGAAGGGAGAGACAGAGAGGGAGGAGGAGAAGAAGAAGAAGAAGAAGAAGAAGAAGAAGAAGAAGAAGAAGAAGAAGAAGAAGAAGAAGAAGAAGAAGAAGAAGAAGAAGAAGAAGAAGACAACAAGCACTTATTAGGTGACTTCTGTGTGCCAAGAACTAAGTATTCTCTCTCTCCCTCTCTCTGTCTCTCTCTGTCTCTCTCTCTCTCTGTCTCTCTCTGTGTCTCTGTCACTGTCTCTCTGTCTCTGTCTCTCTGTCTCTCTCTCTCTCCATCTCTCTCTCCCCCGTGTATATGTGTGTGTATATATATATATTTCTCCCAAACTAAATATTAAAACAATTTTTAACATTTTTTGAAGTTTTGAGTTCCAAATTCTATCCCTCCTTCTCCTTCCCCCTCCCTGAGATGGTAAGCAATCAAATATAGATTACACAGTGCAATTTTATAAAAAGCATTTCCACATTAATCATTTTGTACAAGAAGACTCAAATAAAAGAAAAAGAATGAAAGAAAAAAGTGAAAATAGAATCTTCAGTCTGTATTCGATCAATATCAGTTCTTTCTCTGGAAGTGGATAGTCTGCTTTGTCATCAGTCCTTTGGGATTGTCTTGGATCATTGTATTGCTGAGAATAGTTAAGTCATTCACAGTTCTTCATCAAACAATATTTCTTTTGTTTTTTATTAATAGATTTATTTATTTTTAGTTTTCAACATTTACTTCCACAAAATTTTGAGAATACCCTTTCCCCTAGTCTGCCTTCTCTTCTATGCCCCCCCCCCTTCTCTTATCCCCTTCCCCTTCTATTTTCCTGTAGGGCAGGATAGATTCCTGTATCCCATTTCCTGTATTTCTTATTTCCCAGTTGCATATGAAAACATTTTTTTAAATATGTGTTTTTAAAATTTGGGTTCCAAATTTTTTCCCTTCCTCCCTCCCCACCCACCCTCATTGAAAAGGCAAGCAACTAAATATAGGTTATATATGTGCAGTTATGCAAAACACTTCCATAGTAGACATGCTGTGAAAAACTAACTCTATTTCCCTTAATCCTATCCCACCCACCCATTTATTCTATTCTTTCTTTTGACCCTGTCCCTCCTCAGCAGTATTTGCTTCTGATTACCCCCTTTCCCAATCTGCCTTGCTCTCTATCATCTCCCTACTCTCTTGTCCCCTTCCCCCTGTATGTTCCTGTAGGGTAGGACAGATTTCCACACCCAACTGAGTGTGTATGTTATTCCCTCCTTAAGTCAAATGCTATGAGAATAAGATTCACTCATTCCCTCTCACCTCCCCCCATTTCCCCTCCACTGTAAGAGCCTTTTCTTATTTTTTGTGAGATAATTTACCCCATTCCACCTCTCCCTTTCTCTTTTTCCTAGTATAATCTTCCTTCACCCCTTAAATTTATTCTCCAGATATAACCTCTTCATCTTCAACTCACCCTGTGCCTGCTATCTCTCTCTCTCTCTATCTATCTATCTATCTATCTATCTATCTATCTATCTATCTATCTATCTATCTACATACATACATATAATTGTTTCTCTCCAACTACCCCCAAGGTCTCATGAGTTATAAATATTATCTTTCCATGTAGGAATGTAAACAGTTCAACCTTAATAAGTCTCTTATGATTTCTCTTTCCTGTTTACCTCTTCATGTTCCACTTGAGTCTTGTATTGGAAAGTCAAATTTTCTATTCAGCTCTGGTCTTTTCATCAAGAATGCTTGAAAGTCCCCTATTTCACTGAATGACCATTTTTTCCCCTGAAGGATTATACTCAGTTTTGCTGGGCAGGTGATTCTTGATTGTAATCCTATCTCCTTTGCCCTCCAGAATATTATATTCCATGCCCTATGGTCCCTTAATGTAGAAGCTGCTAAATCTTGTGTTATCCTGATTGTGTTTCCACAATACTTGAATTGTTTCTTTCTGGCTCCTTGTAATATTTTCTCCTTGACCTGGGAACTCTGGAATTTGGCTACAATATTCCTAGGAGATTTCCTTTGGGGATCTCTTTCAGGAGGATATTGGTGGATTCTTTCCATTTCTATTTTGCCCTCTGGTTCTAAAATATCAGGACAGTTTTCCTTGATAATTTCTTGAAAGATGATGTGTAGGCTCTTTTTTTGATCATGGCTTTCAGATAGTCCAATAATTTTTAAATTCTCTCTCCTGGATCTATTTTCCAGATCAGTTGTTTTTCCAATGAGATATTTCACATTGTTTTGTAATTTTTCATTCTTTTCGATTTGTTTTACAGTGTCTTGATTTCTCATAAAGTCACTAGCTTCCAATTGCTCTATTCTAATTTTTACAGAAGTGTTTTCTTCAGTAATCTTCTGGACTTCCTTTTCCATTTGGCCAATTTTGCTTTTTAGGGCATTCTTCTCCTCATTGGCTTTTTGGACCTCTTTTGCCATTTGGGTTAGGCTATTTTTTAAGGTATTATTTTCTTTGGTATCTTTTTGGGTCTCCTTTAGCAAACTGTTGACTAGTTTTCATGATTCTCTTGCATCACTCTCATTTATCTTCCTAGTTTTCCCTCTACTTCTCTTACTTGCTTCTCAAAAATCCTTTCTGAGCTCTTCCAAGGCCTGGGACTGATTCATATTTTTCTTGGTGGTTTTGGATGTAGGAGCTTTGACTTTGTTGTCTTCTTCTGGTTGTATGTTTTGATCTTCTTTGTCACCAAACTAAGATAATATAGTCTGACTCTTTTGGTTTGCTCAGGATTCCAGCCAATTACTTGAGTTTTAAACTCTTGTTAAGATAGAGGTCTGCTTCCAATGTGGAGAATGTACTGTCCCAAACTTTGGGGGTTTGTATAGCTGTTTTCAGAGATACTTCTAGAGAACTGTAAATTTTCAGTTCTTCCAAGGTGCTATGATAAGGGGCGAGGTGTTTCCTCTCCACCTTCACTACAAGGTCCACCATGCCAGCGCTGCTCTTCCTTGCACCAGGACCACCCCTCAGAACTGTGACCCATATCCAAGCATGGGCAAAGCAAGAGAATTCTGCCTCAGCACTGGCAAAGAGATCCCTGTGATCCCCCTCTGATCAGCCACTCAATTCCCCCTCAGTCTGTAAGCCAGAAGCTCAGTAGGCAGCTGCTGCCTTGGACTTGTGGTTGAGACCTAGCTTCTCTCTCACCGCAGTCACAGACTTTTCCCACTGACCTTCTAAGTTGTCTTTGGCATTCATGGGTTGAGAAGTCTGGAAACCCCCACAGCTGCCCATGATTCAGTCCTCTGGGGCCTGCTCCAGGTTTGCTGAGGCCTGCGTGCCCACATCAAACTGCACTCCTCTCTCATCCCAGCGCGATATGCCTTTCCAATCAACCATCCAGGGTGTCTTGGGCTGGAAATACATTTCACTGCCTTTTTGTGGGTTCTGCTGCTTTAGAATTTGTTTACAGCCATTTTTTATAGGTATTCGGAAGGGTTTGGGGGAGAGCTCAAGCAAGTCACTGCTTTCACTCCACCACCTTGGCTCCCCCCCATCTTAAATAATGCTTTATAACAATATCACACCTGACCAAAGAAGAGAGGAAAGATTTATATATACAAACCAGGGCTGTGTGGATCAGGTGAAAACCTAGAAAGTTTCAAAAGTCCAAGCTTAAGAGACAGTGGGGTGGGAGGGAAGTTATTGTTCTCTTTTGATTAGTCCTAGAGGATACCTTGGAGTAGGTGGGATTTAAGGAACAATTTGAATAAAAAAAATGTTCCTAGAGTTTCTACAAATATTGCAATGGGAACTATCTTTGTAGTGGTGATGAATGAAGACAAGGACCTAGGGAGAAAGTTTATTTTTAAAGAACTGAGTGGAAAAAGATTAGAATCTCAAATGGGCCAATTAACCCCCCAACATTTTTAGTTGATAATTAACCCAAAGCAAAGACATCCACCATCCATTGCAGGCATCATTCTCACAGGGCATATAAAAGGTGGTTGGCATTAATGATCATAGCATTCCTTGCCTAGAGTCTTGATAATGTCTCTTACAACTTCTGAAATAATTTGTAAGTCCAGGTCAGGTGTTTTTCTAGGGGGATGCTCTGAAAGGGAAAGCAAAACACCTCAGTCTCTTAAAGAGAGCATTTTCATTAGTGGTTATTATGGAATATTAACCTGGCAGTAGACTGAGAATGGGGCAGACTGCTCCTCAGAGGTATGGGGCCTAAATGACTTCATTCCAACAGGGTTACCTTACTTGGGTTTAACTGGAGCTTAAAGAAAGCCAGATTCAAATAATTAAGAAAACAAGGATGTCTAACCTGTGTAAGGTCTCCTACGAAATCCACGCTGATTAGTTCCTGTGAAGATAGACAAAAGATGGATAAGTGAGAAAAAATTTCCCAGAAAGTGCTTATCTTGTGGCTGCATCTATCAGGTTCTTTCTCATGCTTTCTCAAGATTATGTTCAAGAATGAAGTGCATAAGACTTCTGGTCCCTGCTCTTCACACCATGATGAAAGTCAGGTTGTGGAATCCATGAAGAGTCACAAGGTCTCTTAGAATTCCAACTTGGGGCAACCACCTGAGGACCTAGAGGTCTTTGCTCTCCTTCCTACTCTTCCCTCAAGCTAGACCTCTGGAAGAAAAGCCTGAGGAGTCATATAGGCCTACACATAGGAAAGGGGACAATTTGCCCTAAATTTTTAAATAAGTCCAATCTGATCTTGAAATCCACGCATAGTCTTATAATTGGCACTTAGCATTTTTGAACACTTCTGAAAGGTTAGGCCCTTTTTTTGAATTTATAGAATGATTGGAGTCTCCAAAAATTCACTACTAGTCCCTAACAAACTGGGTTCATGTGTACAAAGGATTAAATTAAGACAATTATACAAATAATTCTTGGTGTAACAAAGATGTAAATAATTATCCCAAGGCTGCATTTTGTTTTGTACTTTGGACAATATCTTAGGTCTTAGTCAGATTGGCCTCACTGAAAAAGGTAGATAACTCTCTAGGATGGCCTATGTTACAAAACTCCTTCTCTTTAGGAAAAGCAACAAGTCAAGTTCCCTGTAGTTCCAAGGAACACCTCCTCCCCCTGCCAACACATACACACACACCTTAGTCTTCTCTATAAGAATAGTTTCCCAAAAATACTGAAAGTACGGTATCCCAGTGTGAGAAGGGACATGAGAAACTCTTCTGGTCAAGTACCTTGTGTGTAGGCAGGTGGACATCAGAAATTAAACCTGAAAAACCCTTTACTAAATCATAACATGGGTGATTTTCAAAGAAAACAAGGTGAATTGGGGAGAGCCTTTTGGTAAAGTCAGAGCTATTAGTAACATGGAAATCAGAGATTTTCTCCAATACACTAAAGAGATTGCTATCAATATTTGTATCCTTCAGGATCAGAGGGACAACTGAATAATATTGGGTTAACAAAAATATTTATTGTAATGCTTTCCTATATATAAGTTGCCTTTGAGCTCTTCCCTTGCCTTCTTACCAGTACTAACCTATTTTCTTCACACACACCAGCCCAAACCAAGGCATCCCCCTAGCAATATTCAAGGGAGCATTTTGTCTCCACTAAAACCAGGTACAAAAATTGCCTTATATTTCTGGTAAAATAAATATTCCCAGACTTCCAGGAACCAAGATGATGGAGTAAGCAGTAAATCACTCTCACCCTCCTTTATTGACTTTGAAAATCCAAAGAATATTGCCCCAGGAAAAATCATGAAATAGTGGAGCCAGCAGAAAGATGAGGTACAGCAGTCTTTTACTTCAGGAGGCTAGGGGGATTAACAGGAAACATCCCTTTTGCTGTGGCTGAAGGGGACTAGTACAGGATGGGAGGCATCCCAGCAAGCCAATGTCAAGCCCCACCTCAGCAAATCAGTGGGAGATCCTGAGCCCCACTGTGGTGTAGCAGGCAAGCGCCAACACCAGCACACACTAGCCACCACCACCAACTCCAACTCAGCACCAGGTAAGCTACCAGATGCCTCCAGCCTCCAGCTGCCAACACCTGAAGCCCTAGTACATAATACCAGTAACCAGGCCCCCAGCCCCCTGCACAAGAAGCCTGGGACAGTACCCCCTCTGCCCCAGAAGTAGAGATCAATTTTATAAAGGCAAACAACATGAGAAAGAAGCAACAAAGAAAAACAATCGCCATAGAGAAGTATCTTGGTGACAGGGAAGATCAAAACACAAATTCTGGAGAGAAAAACATTGTCAATATATCCACATCCAAAACCTCAAAAGGGAATATGAATTGGCCTCAAGCCTAAAAAGCCTTCTTGGAAGAACTCAAGAAGGATTTTAAAAGTAAAATAAGAGAGGTAGAAGAAAAATTGAACAATTCCTTTAAAAATACAATTGTCAAAATGGAAAAAAAAAAGTACACTGAAGAAAACAACTCCTTAAAAAGTAGAATTGGCTAGATGGAAGAGGAGGTACAAAAGCTAACTGAAGAAAACAATTTGCTAAAAATTAGAATTGGGCAAGTGGAAGCTAATGATTTTATAAGACATCAAGAATCAAACAAAATCAAAAGAATGAAAAAATAGGAAAAAAATACCACATTGGAAAAACAATCAACTGACCTAGAAAATAGATCCAGGAGAGACAATTTAAGAATTATCAGTCTACCTGAAAACCATGATAAAAAAACTATTTTATAGAGCTAGAAAAAATTATAACAAAATTCATGTGGAAGGACAAAAGGTTCAGAATATCAAGGGGATTAAAGAAAAGAAATGCTAGGGAAGGTGGCCTAGTCATACCAGGTCTTAAATTGTATTATAAAGCAGCAGTCATCAAAACTACTTGCTACTGGCTAAGAAATAGAGTGGTGGATCAGTGGAATAGGTTAGGTACACAAGACACAATAGTCAATGACTATACCAAAGATTTCAGTTTCTGAGATAAGAACTTACTATTTAACAAAAACTGCCAGGGAAACTGGAAAATAGTATGACAGAAGCTAGGCATAGACCAACATCTTATAACATATACCAAAATAAAATTAAAATGGGTACACAATTTAGATATAAAGGCTGATACTATAAGCAAACTGACAAAGAAGGAATAGTTTATCTGTCAGATTTAGCTGGAATTTATGACCAAACAAGAGACAGAGAACATTATTAAATGCAAAATGAATAATACTGATTACATTAAATTGAAAAGTTTTTGCACAAAGCCCATGCAACCAAGATTAGCAGAGAAGCAGAAACCTAAAAAATAATTTTTACAATCAGTGTCTCTACTAAAGGCCTCATTTCTAAAATATATGTATAACTGAGTCAAATTTATAAGAATACAGGTCATTCCCCAATTCATAAATGGTCAAAGGATATAAACAGGCAGTTTTCAGAGGAAGAAATTAAAGCTATTTATTCTCATATGAAAAAAATGCTCTAAATCACTATTGATTAGAGAAATGCAATTCAAAACAACTCTGAGTACCACATCACACCTATCAGATTGGCTAACATGACAAAACAGGAAAATGATAAGTGCTGAGAAGATGTGAGAAAATTGGAACACTAATGCATTGTTGGTGAAGTTGTGAACTGATTCAACCATTTTGGAGAGCAATTTGGAACTATGCCCAAAGGGCTAACAAATGTGCATACCCTTTGACCCAGCAATAGCATTTCTAGGGCTATACCCCAAAGAAATCATATAAATTGGGAAAGGACCCACACGTACAAAAATATTTATAGCAGTTCTTTTTGTGGTGTCAAAGAATTGGGAATTGAGGGGTTGCTCATCAGTTGGGGAATGGCTGAACAAATTGTGGCATACTAATGTAATGTAATACTGTTGTGCTATAAGAAATTACAAGCAGGCAGACTTCAGACAAACCTGGAAAGACTTGCATGAACTGATGCTGAGTTAAGTGAGCAGAAACAGGAGAACATTGTACACAGTAACAACCATAATGTACAATGACTAACTAATAGACTCATCTCTTCTCAACAATGCAAGGATACAACTCCAAAGGACTCATGATGGATAAAGCTGTCTACATCCAAAAAAGTACTATGGAGTCTGAATGCAGATCAAAGCATATTATTTGCTCTCTCTTTTTCTTTTCTTTTTTTTCTTTTTTTTTGTTTCTTCTTTCTTGTGGTTTCTCCCATTGGTTCTAATTCTTCTTTACAACATGACTAATGTAAAAATAAGTTCAATAAGAACATATATATAGAGCCCATATCAAATTGTATGCTGTCTTGGGGTGGGGAGAGAGATGAGGAGAAAATCTGGAAATCAAAATCTTGTGGAAGTGAATGTTGAAAACCAAAAATAAATAAATAAATAAAAACCTTAAAAAAACCAAAAAACATTCCTTCCAAACTCACTGATGTGAAATTCTGCAAGTCAATGACAAATCATCCAAATTGCCTAGAGGAATTAAAGGGTCTGAAGCAACCATGTAAAATGAATCTTATTGAAAAGATAAGGGGTCAGAACTCTAGGGTCACCGACCATCTTTTGAGTTGTGTTCAGGATCTCTTCTGTCTTCTGCCGCATACAGTGAACCATGCTGGCTGAAGTAGCTGTTTTACACCCAGCAAAGGCTGCAATTTTCTATAACAAAATTTAACAGAGATAACCTTATATTCCTGAAGGTATGACATGGTACATTGGGAAAAGTTCCAAAATGAAAGCCAGGGAAGTGAGATTCAAATAGCCCTGCCCATTCCTGTGTGATTTATGATTATAGAAATAGATTAGGCACAGTACTTCCTCAAGCAATAAGTCTAAAGACCTCAACTTTTGGGGTAAGACCCTACTGTTTGACAAAACTAGCAGTAAAAGTAGACAGCAGTATGAGAGAAACTTAGTTTAAACCTCATGTGATATAACAAGATAAGTTCTAAATGAATTCATGACCTAGCTATAAAAGACTATACCACAAACAAATTATAAGACAAGGAAGAAATTGCCTTTTAGATCAATGAATAGGGAAAGAATTCATGACCAAACAAAGAACAGAGTCACAGAAAATAAATATGAATTTGACAATAGAAATCTTTTTGAAATAAAAAAAATCAATTAAGATTAGAAGAGAAATAGCAAACTAGAGAAAATGTTTGTAGCAAATTTCTCTGATAAAATACACATTTCTAGGGGGCAGCTAGGTGGCGCAGTGGATAGAGCACTGGCCCTGAAGTCAGGAGGACCTGAGTTCAAATCCGGCCTCAGACCAAACACTTGACACTTACTAGCTGTGTGACCCTGGGCAAGTCACTTAACCCCAATTGCCTCACTAAAAAAAAAATATGCATTTCTAAGACACAGAAGGAACTGATTCAAATTTGTAAGAAAACATACCATTCAACAACTGATAAAATGTTAAATATATGAGAAATTGGTTCTCAAATGAAAAAAAAAATACAAGCTACTTAAAATTCATTTGAAAAAATGTTGAAATCACCAATAATTAGAAAAATGAAAATGAAAGCATCTCTGAGGTCACCCATCAGATTGGTAAAGTTGACAAAAAAGGGAAAATCATAAAAGTTGGAAAAGTTGCAGGAGAAGGATATTGATAAACTATTGATGAAGCTGTTAAATGGCCTAGACACTCTAGAAATGTGTTTGAATCTATTACTAAAATATTAGTGAACTAGACATACCCTTTGACCTATAGATAACTCTAGGCTTATGTGCCCAAAGTGATACCTTCCCACCTGCCCAAAAATAGGTGCTATGTATAAAAATACTTGGAGAAATCTTCGGTAAAGGCAAACAAATAGGGAGGAGCTGACAAATTATGGTATATAATATAGTGGAATACTATTGTGTCCCAGGAAATGATGAAGAGGATGGTTTCAGAGAAATCTGTAAAGACCTGTATAAATTGAACACCAAGTAAAGTGAGATGAACTAGGAGAACAATTTGTATAACACAACAGACTTTTAGAGAGATATTTTTGAAGGACTTAAGAATTCAGATCAACAAAATGATGAATAATGATTCCAAATGACTGATGTTGAAGAATGTTGCCTACTTCCTGAGAGAGACATGAGGGACTAGTATGCAAAAGAAGACAAACATTTTTAGACTTAGCCACTGTGGGAATTTTTGCTTAACTATGCATGTTTGTTATAAGACTTTTTCTTTTTTTTTTCTTTTCTAGTAGGAAAATGAATTGGAAGAAAAAAAATTTTTTGCTAATTTAAAAATAATTAATTAACAAAAAACTTCCTGTGACTTAGACATGTCACTTCCTTATGTAGGGCTTCCATTTTTACCTCTGGAAAATGAGAGGGCATTCCAAAATTATTTTTAATATTCCTTATAGTTCTAAATACTGTAAGTTTGTAAATGGAGTAAAGGTTTTAGAGAATCATGTAATGCCAAAAGCCAACCTAAGCTGTTGATTTGATGTTAGAACTGAATAGGCATTCCATAAGAGCAACACCACTCTGGGAAATGGCTCGGTGGAAGAGATTTGTTGTCAAAGGAGAAAGAACCTGAGGGGGAAAAACAGAGGAAATAAGATTATGATTTAGGATCAGAACTATAACTAGGTTACGAAAATCATAGCTTTGCCTCAGGACATTGGGAGAATGCTCACAATACCCCTTTACCAACATAAAAACTGAAACTTAGCACCCTGCTACAAAAAAAAAATGGTTAAAATGGAGACAGCAAGACCAGTTGTACTATGGTTAGAGGGCCAACCTTGAAATGAGGAAACCTGAGTTTAAGTATTATCATTAGCACATACTGACTGTATAACTTTGCATAACTGACGACTTCTTAGCAACTCTATTGTTGATTTGCTTTTAAAGAGAGTTTTCTCATGAGAAGCTCCCTAAGCTACGGAACACATGAACACTTCCCCAAAGACTTAAAGCTGGAAGGCACCAGAAAGCAAAATTCCTCCTCTTGGCCAACCCTCCTCAAGTGAGTTCCCCCACATCTCAGGTCTGTAGAGCTCCCCTACCCAACCCAATGCAGGCTTTCCTAGGAAGACTCTCAATTATATCTGTAGTTGTTATTTCTTGCTAGTGGTATACAAGCATCTTAAAGGCAGGGATTTTCTTTTTGTCTTTATATTCCCAGCACCTAGCACTAGCACAGTCTCTTGTGAATAGTTCTAACTTGATAAATTGTTGTTTGTCCTTCATGCTCGAAAAAGGACCATGACATCAGGAATGTGATGCTATGCCTTGCAAATACATTGGATTTAAGTGAGGGAGGGGTGTGCAAAATCATCAGCCTCACTTTCTCCTCCAGAACCATCTGGGTCCAGTGGCAAAATATAGATCATGATGACTGGAGATGGTCCCCTAACTTAACAAATACTTGCATGGTAAATGAGTATGTTAGATTTTTTTTCCCGACAAGACTTTTTGTTCCTAAGGGCTTCTCTCTCTCTCTCTCTCTCTCTCTCTCTCTCTCTCTCACACACACACACACACACACACACACACACAAACACACATTAGTCTTAAACTTTTGATTTGGGGGCATATTTCTATCTACTTGCCCTATTTGCCAAAATGGCTATTTATAGCATGGTTTAAGAACACTGATTGAATAGGTCAAGGTAGACCCACTTATGCCAAAAAGTACTTTTCCTTCTATGATTCTAGAAAATGTGTATTCCCTTCTGCTTCTGATTTTCCATTTTTTCAGTATTTCATAAATTTTTTTCAATATTTCTTTGTATCCCACATATTTGTACTTATTTTTGTATAGATTCTGTCTTTGTAATTATAAATGAGCATGTTGGATTCCTAGAAAGAATGTAAATACTTTGAAGGGAGGTCTGATTTTATTTTTATCTTTGTATCCCTGGCACTTGGCACAGTGCTTAGTAAATAGTAAGCACTTAATAAAATATGATTGTTTCACTAAATGACATTATAAATTTACCTAATGCATTTAACCTTTCCCTTATAGTGGGACACTTAGAAACTTTCATGCTGCTATGGAAACCTTTGAATAGACATCTTTTTTTTGTTTGTTGTTTCTTTGTTATAATACTTCAAGGGAAATATTCATAGCAGTGTAATTATTGTTAAAAAGAGATAATTGCCTGAAAAACTGTGTTATGTGAATATAAGAGTATATTGTTTTGCAATGAGAAATAATGAATGAGAAATTCAGAGAAATATGAAAATATTTGTTTGAACTAATATATAATGTAATTAGCAGAACCATGAGAAAACATGAACAATGACTAACAATGTAAATGAGATAACAAAAAGAAGACTGATTTTTTTATTTGTATTGATTTTTTTAGGTCTCGAAACCACACCTTCTTCACCTGCAGCCAGGAGTTGTCCTCTTCCTTCCCAGTAACGCTCTGTAAGTGATACACACACACACACACACACACACAACCACCATGAGATATTCCATTTGTGACAACATGGAGCATCCCCAGCAGTGGCTTCTCACAATTTCTCACTCCTTCTGATGGTTCTAAGTGAGATGCTAATAATGATGGGCAGCTACTACCCAAATAGAGGGGAATCATTGTTTATCATGCCCTTGGCAGTTCTAAACATGACAGACAGAGATGATAGAGGGGTAAGCATATCAGACTAACAGCATATGTTGAGATAACACATTGGTCAGGCCTGGAACAAACCTTTCAACGAGACAGGTTTCTTAGTAGCAGGATGGACAATGTGAAGGCTAGTGGATTAGGAATGTGGTAGAAATCATAATTAGGTACTGTACCAGAATTAGCTGTTTTTAAGATTTGGCATGGGCTAGTTCCCTGCCTATGTGGAATAATAATTAAATAATCTATTTGTCATTTGCCAGGGATGCAGAACTCCATGTCAAGCTGGCTACAATACATTCTTTATGAATAACAAAATTTAGTAGACAGAAAAAGTGAGCAAGCACTCAGGAGAACTAAGGAACAGAAAAGCTTATTTATGATAGCCCAGATCACTGGCCACTGAACAAGGTTATTTGGCACAATATGAAATATCCTAAATAAACACACAACAGTAGCCCATTTACCTTTTCATAGAAACACAGCATTAGTAAGGGTCATAAAGGTCATCTAAGCATGCATTTCCTACCTAAATCATGAATCCTTCTAACTCCTATAAGACTTCCTCTCATAAGTGGTTATTCAGTTAATAGTTAAATACTACAGGAGGGCCATCTTCAGTCAACCTAATCTGCATCTCACCACTGGACCCAGATGGCTCTGGAAGAAAGACTGAGGCTTGTGACTTTGCATAGCCCTCCCTCACTTAAATCCAAGTCACTTTCAAGTCATGACATCACCTTCCTAATGTCATGGTCCTGTTTGAGAACAAAAGAACAAACAGTGATCTGTGAGTAGTTGTAGGTGTCACACTGTGGACCCAGCCAGCCAGTTTCAGTTGACCAAAGGAACTCTTCTCTTACTTCCCTCCTTCCTTCCATCTTCCCCTCTCTTCTCTCCCCTCCTCCTGTCTTTATTTCCACAAAGGGAATCATACCCTTACCTACAGGTGTTCTGCCCTAAGAAATATAAATATTGATTGCTGAAACCTCACAAGATAGCTTATCATTTATGGGCTAGATTTCTTTTTAGGGACCATGCCTTAAACCCAAATCATTCTAGCTCTCATTTATTGTCCAACAATGGGTTAGCCCAAGACTCACTTGGTCATTGTTTGGTCTCTTGGTCTCTGATGGTTCAGAGTGAGTATAAATATCAATTATTTCTATTTATGCCAGAAATCCTGAGGGTCTTTCCCTCCCAGATTGATTTTTTAACTAGTTAAAAGAGGCCATTATTTGCCTCATTTTTTATGTAGCCTTAATCACTAAATGGGCATTGCCTCCATCAATCTGAGACCTGGGAAAGACCTTAGCTTAAAAAGGTCAAAGTCTCCCACTGCATCCCAGGCCATTTTCAGTCATCCTGATCTATATCTTGCCACTGGGCCCAGATGGTTCTGGAAGAAAAAGTGAAGCTGGTGACTGTGCACAGCCTTCCCTCACATAAATACAATTCACTTGCAAGTCATGACATCACCTTCCTGATGTAATGGTCCTCTGGGAGAACGAAGTTCAAATAATGAATGAATGAATGAAATACTCCAGACACAGGGAGCTATTTAGATGACAAGGCAGCCCTTTTCATTATTAGGAATCTCATGGGATTCATCAGTTTGAAAACTATCCCTTATTTCAAATTGGCAACTCCCATTTTAACTTTCCTTAAGCTAAGCCCTCAGTCATCATATCTAGCCTACTATATATGTACATACAGTTATAGATAAAGATGAAATAGATATAGATACTCCTTTAGACTAATCATGATCTGCTCCTTTAAGCCTTGTTTGGCTTAACATGCAGACCTTAAAGTGCTGTAGAGATGTTATCATTTAATATAATTATAAGTTTCTATCCTAGATGCTTTTTGGCTTGTCAAAGTTCTTTCTAAATGATGGTTTATAGCGGAAAGAGTATTGGACTAGATATCCCCAAAGATCTCTTTCTGCTCTCAATCAATGTTCCTATGATTTTCAATGATACGCTTAATATTGTCTGATCAAGGTCTGACTGTTGTTTTCCTTTGGTTCCTACCTAGAACTTTTCTTACTGAGGCAATTTCTTGCATATGAGTACAGATATTAATGATGCACCATTTCCCAGGGTTCACCTTTTTGGCAACTAGGAGGTACACTGTGGAGTCTCCTGAAATCAAAGTCCCTACATGATCTCCTACATCCTCACTGGGACAGAAATGAGACAGTCCATTAGCCATCAAAGAATAAAGAATGATCTCAGATGCTTGTCCCAGATCCTGTATGTTTATAGTCATATCACTGAATACAGGTGGTCTAGTAAAATGAGTAAATCTGCCCAGTCATTGTTCCAAGGTTTCTTATTGGATTCAGCTCCAGATTCTCTATTTTCCTAAGAACCTCCCACCTTTTCCCCAAATAATTCATTTCCTTGAGGGTGGATGAGGATGAGAGATGCTGAGGAAAGAATCCTTCCCCAAAGCATTGTTGACACTGCTCACGCTTGGGAGAAAGGTCTCTTATTAATGGCATATTTAGAAACATGAGAATATTTGGTGCCTGGATTTCTGCCTGAACTTTATAGAAGTGACTGGGGAAGAAAAGGGGAGTAAAAATATTCTCTGAAGATGAGCATGGCAGGAACAGTAATTTCAAAGTATTTTCCTAGTAAGAGGAGCTAGTACAGGCAGCTAGGTGGAGCAGTGGATATAGTGCTGGGTCTGGAGTCAGGAAGATTCATCTCTCTGAGTTCAAATCTGGCCTCAGACACTCACCAGCTGTATGACCCTACTCAAGTCACCCAATCTGGCTATCCTCTGCCTTTTCATCTGCAAAATAAGATGGACAAGAAAATGGCAAACCACTTCAGTATTTCTGCCAAGAAAATCCCAAATGCAGTCACAAAGAGTCAGACTGAAAACAACTGAATGGCAAAAAAGCAAGCAGAGTCATCAACAACATTGTCTTACACACTGCTCAACTCTGAAGGCCATGCAGGTAATGGGGGAGGAGGAAGAGAAACAATGCTCTCCATTTCTGATCAAAGAATACTGAGAAAACTTTGGTCTGGATTACTCTGTGTTCCAACTTCCACAATGGGAAGATATGCAGAGGTCCAATACCATCTGGGATGTCCACATAGGGACCATGGCCAAGAGAATTCCTGAGTTATGCACAAAGCAAACAGTATAAAAGTGCTCAACAAAAATGATTTCTTAAAAATGGTCCTTAAGAACAGGAAGGTCCTTAAGAACAAACGATGAAACACAGCTCCTTCCTCATTTCAGAAGTTGGGGACTAATAGGACAGAAGATTATTTACATTATCAGATGAAATTAATGTGTCAAATTTTTTTTGCTTGATTGCTTTCCTTATTCACAAGAGAGACTTAGTCTGGAGAATAGCTTTTAAATGAAGGTAATAGAAAATCAAAAGTCATCAATAAAACATTAACATAAAGGTTCTTACGAGTCTGACATGCCAGCAGTACTAGATGAGTATACATATTTTTCTACAATGCAATAGTGCTCTATTCACCTGTGATTTAATTATTTGTTTTGCCTTTTGCCTCTGTTTCATGAAGGCAGAGACAGTATCTAATATAAATTTTGTGAGTTCCACAATTCCTAAGGAAATGCTGAATATACAATAGACACTTAGTAAATGTTCCTTAAAAAATTAGGATAAGTAAGGGAGGAGTAAGCTGAGAGGAGAGGAAAGGAAGGGATATGAGGAGGTGAGGGAGATGAGGTTCCAGAACCACACTTTTCTTTCTTTCCAAGTTTGCCCAGAGTTGACCCTGTGTCAAGAGAAAAGGATGTGGGTGTCAGGTATAACAGGAATTCTTCATACACTCAGAAGAGGAATGCAATGGTTCAGTGAAAGGTTTGCTAAGTGTTCATTGAGATGATGTTCTAAGTCACTTTATAGAGTTGCTGTGAGAGGGTTAGGTGGCACAGTGAATAGAGTGCTGGATCTGGGGTCAGGAAGCCTCATCTTTCTCAGTTCAAATCTGGCCTCAGAGACTTACTAGCTGCGTCACAGAGGCGAATCACTTAACCCTGATTGACTCAGTTTCCTCATCAGTAAAATGAGCTGGAGAAAAAAAATAACAAGCCACTCCAGCATCTTTGCCAAAAAATGGGGTCATAAAGGGTCTGACATAGTTGAAAATAACTGAGCAACAAAGAGATACTGTGAGTGGGAAGAGCATTGGGTCTAGAATCTGAAAACGGAAGTGTGAATCCCAGTTCAGATACTTTATAACTGTTATTTTAAGCAAATCACTTTATCACACAGAAATTCACCTTTCTCATATGTAGAACTACTAACAATATTGCTTTTATTATCTCACTTATAGAGTAGCTATGAGGAAAGTGATTTTAAGTACTTTGTAAATGTGAATTATTATATTATTATTATTATAAAAGAAATAACACATTACAAAACTGAATCAACTCTTCTGTCCCCTAGACCTTCACTGTTAAACTTCTACAGTTAGTCTTGGGGCATGGTCAGCTCTACATTCTTGTCCTCTCTACTTTATTACTTGATTAAGAAAGAAACTCACTGCCTAGAATCACCCACCATCCTGTGGAAGAACCAATGCAGCTAGCAGTGAATACCAGCAACATCTACATGTGGTTGGGGCTCTGACTCTGTAAGATATTGTTGGAAGATTCCTGAATCGAAGCATGGCACTCTGAAAACTTACCAGTGCTGAAACACTGACACCTCCTGCTGATACACCAAAGATGGTTACCAAATTTGGGTCTCCTCCAAAGTTGACAATGTTCTTCTGAACCCACTGGAGTGCAGCCACTTGGTCTAAGTAACCCCAGTTCCCTCGGGCATGTTCATCTCCAGTACTACAAGGGAGAGAAGAAAGGAGGAGGAAGATGGATGATTAGAAAAGAATATTTCTCAGCTTGCTTCCTAATTTATAAAATGGAGATAACCACAGCACTTACCACAAATGGTTGTATTATACTCAAACCTTATAAGAGGTATAAAACATAGCAGTTACTTTAGGAACAAGTGGTTTCATGGAAAACATGAAATAATGCTAAACTTCCCACCTCTAGTGTCTAGTCAACTTTTGTTGTTGTTGTTGTTGCTGTTCAGTCATATCTGACTTTTCATGACCTCACTTTGGGTTTTCTTGGCAAAGATAGTGGAGTAGTTTGTCATTCTTTCTCTACCCCATTTTTTACAGATGAGAAAATTGAGACAAACAGAGTTAAGTGACTAGCCTAGGGTTACACACCTATTAAGTGTCTGAGGATAGGTTTGAAATTAGGAAGATGAATCTTCCTGTCTCCAGACAAAACCCTCTAATCTCCGGGTCACCTAAATGCTGGTCAACTTTTCACCTTAGTATTGTTAAGTTTATGTGTGGGTCATGTTTTCTCTTTTAGATATAATGTGATGAGGGTAGGGATCAGGTTTTCTAATTTTTTTTTGTTACATTCATGAACCCACCAATCCCTCAGGTCACTTGATTAGTATTATTGAACTGCATCTCAAAAAGGCTTCAGGGGAAATTTCTATTTCTTTGATGCCCATATCTTTGCTGTCCCTACTGTTACCATGCTAGTGCTTTTTTGCATGCTCATCTCCTGACTGGAATGGTTTTCCATCCTACCTGCCTATCAAATTGGCTCAGTTCCCCTTCTATCTCCTTCAGGAAGCTTGAATTTGACCTAAGGCAGTTATAATTGCTCACTCCTCTGAACTCCAATAGCTAAGAATCTTTAGCACATGTAATCCTCATTTAGTATTTGACATGAAGTGTCTTATCAATAGTACTCAACTTAGGAAGGTAGCATTTTTGTGCTGGGCAAATGTAAACAAAAGTGGATCATATCTCTCCTCCACTCTCCCCTCCCCCATAGAAAATGTGTATAGTACAGGAAGGAGTAAGGCTCTACTGCCTCACTTAGCCCTGTATTTTGACCTAACTTCATTTGTATGTCTCCTTTCCAATCCACCAGGATCTTGGGAGTGTTTGGGGCTTTATCGACCTAGCCTTTATATAGCTTCTGTGACATTATTTTGGGTAGAGTCCCTGAAATGGGTTTGGGGATACAGTATCCCAACCCAGTGTCACAAAATTATTAAATTTCAGAGTTAGAAGCACCATGGGCTACTTTTTGTCAGCTAAGTTCCCATCCTCTAGCTCTTAACCTATAGAATCCAAAGATTCCCAGACGGTACTGAATGGCCACCACAACAACATTCTCAACAGCTGAGAGGTACGTCCCCTCCAAAGTTGAAGCATCACCCACCAATAAGCCCCCTCCATGGATCCACACCATCACCTGTGGAATGAGACAAAAATATTATTGGTCACAGCATCCCTGAATTAAAAGGAACCACAGAAAGTGCATGTTTAAACCACCCAGCCTGAGTACTTGAAGCTATCCATCCTAGAGATCTCTAGGGGGATGACAGGGTATAATGAAATGGGAACTTGACTAGAGGCTAGAAGAACTGAGTTCTAATCTGGACTCTACCACTAACTTTCTGTGTGAATTGAAGAAACTCACTTCCATTTTCCAAGTCTCAAGTTGCCCACTTGTCTAAAAGGAAGGACTAGATAACCTTTAAGGTCCTTTCTAGTTCTCATTTTATGACTGTGTTTCCTACACGTAGAGAGGGGAGAAGCCAAGATGAATCAGGCAACTTAAGAGAGTATTCTCCCTGAGCCTCTATCCTTTGGGTTAAACTCCTCTATGACCACTCCACTCCATTGACATTGTCATATAAGCAACAAAACCAGACAAATAATGTAGATCTCAATACTTTAACTATCTGAATGATTTTGAAAATCTATTGTTGTTGAGAGGAAAAAGGAAGCAATCCTGAACTTTCCACATTTGAGACACTTGAATAAAGTAGGTATGTTTAAGTCAGGAAAAAAAAAAACTTTGGGGGAACATAATAGCTTATCCTAAAGTATTTGAAGGACTGTCATGGAAAGGAAACTTTGGACTCATTCTATTTGGTCCCCAGGGCTAAAATAGAAATAGTAGAGAAAATCGCAGAAGAGCAGATTTTATTTCCATGTGAGGAAAAAAAAAAACTTTCTAACAGAATTCCCAAAAGTGAATGACTTGATTGCTAGTTGTTTTACACACACACATACACACACACAGGCACAAATACATCCCACCACTACCACTGGAGGTTGTCAAATAGATAATGAGTAACTACTTATCTGATATGCTATAAGGGATTCCTGTGAAAGTGTGAGTTGTATTAGATAACTTCTGAGGTCTTCCCATTCCTGAGCAATTGTACTTACACACTTAATGGGGAGTTCTAAACCATTTTTGTGTATCATGGATGCCATTGGCAGTTTGCTAAACTCCATGGAACCCTTCTCAGAATAACATTTTTAAAAGCATAAAGTAAAACATATAAAATTACCCCCCTAAAATCAATGATATTGAAATATAGATGTATTTCCCCCCATTAAAGGTCACAGACTCCCTGAAAATTTATCCATAGATGTCTTGTGAGGGAGTGAAGGTGTTCTACACTAGAGGAAAGTAAACAAGATGATGAAGGCACTCAAAACTGTCCTGTGAGGATTGATTACTGGAAGAGTCCTTAAGTTAGAGAAAGAGGACTCAAGGGCTGAGCCAAGATGGCAATGGAAATTCAGCATTTCTTTTTTTAATTAATTAATTTAGTTTAGTTATTAATTTAGTTATGTAAGTTATCACTTCCATAAGCTTGAGTTTTAAATTTTCTCCCCCTTCCTGTTTCCCTTCCCAAGATGGTGTTCAAACTGATATAGGCTCTACATATACATTCCTATTAAACATATTTTCACATTAGTCATGTTGTAAAGAGGAATTAGAACCAATAGGAGGAGCCACAAGAAAGAAGAAACAAAACAAAATAGAAGAAAAACAGAGCAAATAGTACGCCTCAATCTGCATTCAGTCTCAATAGTCCTTTCTCTGGATGTAGACAGCATCCATCATGAGACTTTTGGAGTTGTCATAGAACCTTGCATTTCTGAGAAGAGTTAAGTCTATCAGTTAGTCATTGTACAACTTGGCCATCACTATGTACAATGTTCTCCTGGTTCTGCTCACTTCACTCAGCATTAGTCCATACAAGTCTTTCCAGGTTTTTCTGAAGTCCACTTACTCATCATTTCTTATATCATAATAGTATTACATTACATTCATATACCACAACTTGTTCAGCCATTACCCAAATGATGGGCATCCCTTCAATTTCCAATTCTTTGCCATCACAGAAAGAGCTGCTATAAATATTTTTGTACATGTGGGTCTTTTTCTCATTTGTGTGATCTCTTTGGGATATAACCCTAGAAATGCTATTGCTGGGTCAAAGGGTATGAACATTTTGATAATCCTTTGGGCATAGTTCCAAATTGCTCTCCAAAATGGTTGGATCGTTTCACAACATCACCAACAATGACTTAGTGTTCCAGGAATTCAGCATTTCTGCTGATATCTCCCAAACCAATCCTTTAATCAACTTTTTCAAAATGTCTCAAATAATATTCTGAGTAGGATAATCAAAAAAGTCACAGTATCTCATTTTTTCAGGATAGCTTAGGAAAACTGAAAAAGAGGGCTTCCTGCAGACATGGGATGAGGCTTGGTCCAGAACTTGAGCTATGAGGCCTGGGGATATTGGCAACAGCAGTAGAGTAGCATTAAGGATAGTAGGGACAATACCTTTTGTCAGAAAGATATCACAGAAGACCCCTGTTTTGGAGATGGGAGCAGAGCCAGGCACCATTTGGCAGCTCCTTCTCCCATTACCAAGTTGCAAGTTGCAGTTGCATGGCAAAGTGATTACAGTCTGGTTGCAAGGAATAGAAGCCCTACCTAGGTATGGACAAGAGCATATATCAGGAGGATAGTGACCAGAACTCTCCCTGGGTCATGCCACCTTGGAAGCACCAAAAACCTACAGGCCCTCTGTCCATTGAGACTCCTTCAGTCTGCCCTAATAATGATAAAGTTCTTAAGAGTTATAAGAAACAACCAAGATAGTGGTGTTGATGGAGCATTCCAGTCAAACTCTTCCAACATTCCCCTCAAAACAACTTTAAAATAACCTGTCAATTTGAATTCTAGAATGACTTAGCCAACAAAAGGTTGGACTTTTTGAGGCATTTTTTATACATCCCAAGATAACATAGGAGGTAAGACAGAGAGGTCTGCAATACAGGGGCGGGGCTTGCCTAGAGTACAGTGCAGTAACAACACTAGCTGTGGGCCTTGAGGCTGTAACAATGATTACAGCAGCAGTTTGGGGAGCTTTCACTACTCCTAGATGATAATGAGATGAGGCAATTGATGAGAGAGAAAATACAGGGGGCCTCTATGTTGGCACTGGGCACAGAACTGGACAAAATTTTGGCACTTTTACTGCTCATTACCCAGGTCAGAGTCACAGTTCCAGGACTGAAAGGTCTGTTTCTGATTGCAAGAGAGTTGGGCCCCTAGGTAGGTAAGGACCAGACCACAGATGAGTAGAGCAGTGACCTCACTTCTTCCCAGATCTCACCAAGTAGGAAGAACCAAAAATCTTATAGATCCCCTAGAACTAGCTGTGAAAATAGCAGAGTAAAACTAGCTAGAAGCTTGGGACAGGGATTGCCCTTCCATCCACCCAGGTGATCAAAGCCCAACCCTAACATCAAGTTCAAAGCCAAGAAATAGGCTAAGATAATGAGTAAATAGCAAAAAAAGGAATCTGACCATAAAAGGCTACTATGGTGTCAGGGAAGCTGAAGACACAAACTCAGAAAAAGACAACAGGAAAACATCTACAGGTAAAGCATCAAAGAAAAAATACTGATTAAACAAAAGTCCAACAAGAAGTTCTTTTTTGTTTTTGGTTGGGCAATGGGGTTAAGTGACTTGCCCAGGGTCACACAGCTAGTAAGTGTTATATGTCTGAGGCCAGATTTGAACTCAGGTCCTCCTGAATCTAGGGCCACCTAGCTGCTCCATGGGAAGTTCTAAAAGAGCTAAAGAAAGCAATGGAAAGGAACAAAAAGAATGGTTTTTAAATCAAGTAGAAAGATAAATGGGAAATGAGGGTAATGCAAGAAAATTATAAAAATAAAATTAACAGATTGGTAAAAGATGCATAAAACTTCATTGATGAAAATAACTCCTTAAAAAGCATAATTCCCCAAATGGAAAAAGAGGCACAAAGTTTCAGTGAAGAATATAATTCCTTAAAATTTGCAATTGTCCAAGTAAAATCTAATAATTCCAAGAGAAATAACAAAAAATAAAACCTAGTCATAAGAATGAAAAATTGAATAAAATGTGAAATATCTTACTGGAAAAAACAACTGGCTTGGAAAATAGATTGAGAAGAGGCAAAAATTATTAGACTACCTGAAATCTCCCAGGAATGTTGTAGCCAAAATCTAGAGCTCCCAGATTAAGAAAAAAAAATAATGGAAGCAGAGAGAAAAAAACTCCTGAAATACCCTGGAACCACAGCCAGCATCATACATGATTTAGTAACTATCATCATAAAGAAGTGAAGTGTTTAGAATACAATACTCCAGAAGGCAAAGGAGTTAGGATTATAACCAAGAATAACCTATCCAGAAAAATGGAGTCTAATCCTTGAGGGGAAAAATGAATTTTAATGAAATAGATGACTTTAAAGCATTCGTCATAAAAATATCAGAGCTGAATAAAAAAAATGATATTCAACAGAAGAATTAAGAAAAGCCTAAAAAGGAAGACAAGAAAGAGAAATCATAAGGGAATTAATAAGATTAAACTTTTTAATTTCCTTTATGGGAAGATGATACATCTAACTCCTAAGAACTCTGGCATTATTAGGACCCTTATTAAGAGTCTCCACAGGTCAGGAGTGTGATTCAATTATGTCAGGAAATTTAAAAAAAAAAGAAATGGAGGAATAAAAGGAATGAGAGAAGGACGGAGTAAGAGGAAGAAAAGAGGTGTGTAAGGAAGAGTTTTTGTAATGGGGAGGGGCAGGCAATGCTTGAAGATAGATAGATAGATACATAGAGATATGCAGATAGATGGATAGAGAGATGATAGAGAGCTAGATAGGTAGATACAATATAGTTATATATCTTATTCAACAGGGAATTAGGAGGGGAAAAGGCTAAGAGAAAAGAAGGGCTAATAAGAAGAAAGTAGGATTAAGGGGGGTAAAATTATTTCTGCTTTTCCTCCTCTGCTATTCATGCAAGAAGGAACCAAAACCAAAAAAATCCAAAATTATAGACAACACAAACCATAAACTCCTTACAGGTAACAATCTTTGTTGCCAGGTCAGCTGAGGTGTAAATATTCAGGTACAAACAGTCTTCAGAATTTTTCAGGGAAGTTCCATGCAGATTGCAGAAAGTTTTTGCCATAAACTCCTCTCTAATTGGATTCTGGGCACACCTGTGCAATGAAACAAAAGAAATCACTTCTTTTTAACAGCATATCAGGAAAACATACTTGGGGTCAAAGGATCACTGCTCAGAGGTTTTGGAGTTGGTAAAGTTCTTAGAGATCACTTAGTCAAATACATTCATTTTACATATGAGGAAACTGAGCCTAGAAAAGGAAAGTGACTTGCCCAAAGTTACATAGGTAATAAGTAACACACTCAGGATTTTGACTTAGATCCTCCTCCACCCCTATCCTCCTGCTCTTCTTCTTCAGACCCTCTACTTCATCTTCTAAGGGAAAATTGACAAATAATTTTGAATGTCTTTTTTTATTTCCTTAATTCATGAAATATCCCACTGGCTTTCTGTTTGGGTATGCCCTTTCTTCCCTATGGGCCTCAGTTTTCTCCTCTGGAAAATGGGGAATAGAACTAGATGGTCCTTAAGTCCTTTTTCAGTTCTCACTTTCTATGAATAAACTGCTTGTTGTTATTAGGAAAAATAGAATTGAAAAAAGGGGAAGGTTCATAGTAAGGCAGATGGTCTGTGGAAATTATTCTGATTTGTGAAACATTGACATTCCTTCAGGGACAGCCAAATGCCAAACTGTGACCCTAAAGCTGATCCTAACTGCACCAGAAGTCTTTCTGGTTCTCACTCTCTGGACCTTTTGCTTGTGGGGCAAATAGAATAGCTACCCTTGTCACCACTGAACATATGAGGAAAACATAAAAGTTAATGAATAACCCAAAATCAGAGTTATGAAATAGGAGTCTTGGCTGAAACCATGATTCTTATTCCAAGCCTCTTTCTCCCAGACCATCTATTTTGAAGTCACTGAGCCTGTACATGTCAATAGAGAGGCTGCTTTGCAATTAGATGTGGTCTTGTTATGAGTGAAAACAGAGAGGCAAAGACAATTGCCATTTTGCCAGGCAATGTGTTCCCAGGGATTTCTTTGATTGTAATTAAGCAAATAAAGCAGTCCCACCACCATCTATTTAAGATGACTGCAGCAGGTCCTTTATTTGTTCAATGTAGATAAGCTTTCCAAGGCAGGTGGATCACTTTATAGCTCAGGATCACTTCACTGTACAAGCCTGAGATGTTCTCCTTCAACCTAATACAGCTTAAATGAGTGGGTTAGGAGTGAGAATAAACAGGAATGTTTCCAGGGAGAGGAGTAGATAGGCAAAGCAAAGAATTATGGAACGATTGGAGGGGTCTGGAATAGTAGAAAAACAACAAAAGAATTAGGAGATAATTCTCCTAATTAGGAGTTAATGCTTTTCTCTACTTGAAGCCCTCCCCCTTCCAGAAAAAATCTAAAGACTGATGACTTACATGGGTGGATATGTAGTAGTGCTCTTCACATAGTCCCAGGACTCAGGTGGCTGGGGTGGAGCAAACCTTAAGGATCCAAGAGGGGCTTTGGAAAAAGGGACTCCCAAGAAAACATTGACAGATCTGTCAAATTCTTGTAGTATCACTTGTTTGCCTTGGACTTTCCCATATTCAGTGTTCACTACAGGTGCTGAGGACTGTGGGCCTGTGGAATATTGACAAAGGGAAAAGTGATTTCATTTGAGAAGGAAACATGGCGGAATAGAATAAGCAGTGAAGTAGGAATCAGGATTCCTGGGTATGTATGTTCCATACTAACTAGGTGACCTTTAAAAAATAATAAAAGTTCTATGGACCTTCTATTCCTCACCTACAAGTGGGAAATAATATTAGTTCCTTATAGCATTGTTTTGAATATCAAATGAGAGAATGGAAATTAAATGGCTCCACAAATATTATAATCATAATAATAATAATAATAGGAAATCACATTTCTTTTTAAAAAAAAATTTATACGCGGCAATTGAGATTAAGTGACTTACCCAGTGTCATACAGCTAGCAAGTATCCAGTGTCTGGTCTGAGACCGAATTCGAACTCAGGTCCTCCTGACTCCAGGTCCAGTGCTCTATCTATTGTGCCACCTAGCTGCCCAGGAAATCACATTTCTAAAGGACTTTTTGTTTACAAAAAACTTGACTCACAAGCAAACAAGATAAATTATAGCATAATCCCTATTTTATAGATGGGGAAACTGAGGAAAATAGAAGTGACTTACTCAAAGTCACATAGCTCTCAATGTCTCCCTTTTTAAAATAAATTTTCATTGACATCCATTATTTTGACATCATCAGAATTTTTCCCAGTATCCTTTCTCTATTTTCTCCCAGTCATCTCATATAATAAATATTTTAAATAAAACATTGAAAAATAAAAATAAATAAATAAATCAACAAAACCAACACATCAAAAAAGCCTGAAAATATATGAACAGTACCATACCCATGGGCCTTTCATTTCTGAAAAATAACAATATATGAGTGTCTTCTCATATTTCCACTTTGAAGGCATGTTCTTTGTAATTTTGCAACATCCACTTTTGATTTTTTTTCAGTGTTTGCTCTTTCCATTTATATTTTTGTAGTGATTATATACAAAAAAATAGAATTTTCTTGGGTCTTTACTTCACTATGCACCAGATTGTGCAAATCTTTCTGTGCTTCTTTTTATTCACCATATTCATCATTTATTTTTTAGTGTTGAAAATAATTTCAATTCATTAAGAATCCACAAGCTTCAAATTGACCTGGAAATGTTAAGCAGCTTCTTATTTAGCAATATGGCCATCTTTTTTTAAATAAAATTTTATTTTCCCCAATTACATGTAAAAACAATGTTTAATATTCATTTTTTAAAAATTGAAGTTCCAAGTTCTCTCCCTTTTCCCCTGCATCCTCCTCCACCTCCCTGAGACAGTAAGAAATTTGATGTAGGTTATATATGTGTGATCATGCAAAACATATTTGTGTATTAGTCATCTTGTAGAAAAAAAATGGACAAAAAATGAAAAAAAGTGAAAAAGAGTATGTTTCAATCTGCATTCAGACTCTATTAGTTCTTTTTCTGGATGGTATTTCTAATTATGAGTTCTTTGGAACTATCTTGGATCATTGGATTGCTAAGTCATTCACAGTTAATCATTATGCAATGTTTCTGTTAATCTGTACAATGTTCTCCTGGCTCTATTCACTTCATTTTGCATCCATTCATGTACAGCTTTCTCGGTTTTTCTGAAGTCATCTTGCTTGTCATTTGTTATATCACAATAGGATTCCATGACAAATATTTACCACAACTTGTTTAGCCCTTCCCCAATCGATGGGCATCCCCTCAATTTCTAATTCTTTGATAGTAGAAATATTTTTGTACAAATAGTTCCTTCCTCACAATTTTTTTTTATTTTTGGTTTTCTCTAAGATACACACCTCGTAGTAGTATTTCTGGGTTAAAGGATGTGCACACTTTTATAGCCCTTTAGGCATCATTCCAAATTGCTTTCTAGAATGATTACATCAGTTTACAACTCCATCAACAGTACACTAGTGTCTCAATTTTCCTGTATTTCCTCTAACATTTGTCATTTTCTTTTTTTATCATTTGATATGTGTACTTTTTCATATCAATATAGATAGTTTTATTTCTTAGTATAAAAACTGGCTGTTCATATCTTTTGACCATTTATCAACTGGGTAATGAGTCGTAATCTTACAAATTTGACTCAGTTCTCTATATATTTGAGAAACAAGACCTTTATCAGAGTTACTTGCTGTAAAAAAAATCCTAGCTTTCTGCTTTCCTTCTTTTCTTGGTTGACTTGTTTTTCTTTGTGCAAAACCATATTAATTTAATGTAATCAAGATTATTCATTTTACATGTCATAATGCTCTCTATCTCTTCTTCTACACAGTTCTTTTTGAGAGGAAAGCTTTTCTCTCTTCCATGGTCTCAAACCAGCCATGGTCAAATTTGGAGGAGGTGTCAATAAGCTTCAAGTAACTGTTCTCCAGAGCACATTTAGTGTGTACCAGGAGAGACTTTCACAGGGTGATGATATGCTCTTAGTCCTAATGACACAGCTTTTGAGCATGATAATGTCATTGTTCACATCACCATAGTGGACAAAGCCTCCCAAGGATTAATGCTCTTGCCCAAAAGGTCATAATTGGATGAGTTTTTTTTTTATCAGTTTCCCATTCTCGATCTGGTACCCCTGGCCAATATTGTTTTGCTGATCTTGGTACAATAATAGTAGCTTTTCTGACCAGCCTGAGCTACCCACATGGTCAGAATGCCAAGTTCCAATACATGCCACCTTAGGAAGGCCTTCGTGTGTAATAGTTTCTTTATGTACAAGCAGCTAGTGACACCTTTGTAACCCTTACCCTTGGATACTCGAATGACATCAATCATTTCATCCTGCCCAAACAACAAAGGGCATGGGAACTGGCTGCTCTAGCTTCTTGTGAGCACTGTCTAGTTTCTCAAATATACTATAGCCACTAACCTGGATATCTATCAAGTAAAATTTATTCTTCCTCAGAGGGAGTAGGCGCATCTGGGTGGAGCAATAACTTAGATCATCTGGCAGTATTTCTTCATGCTATTGAAGTCTTTCTGAAACTGTCTTCTTGCTGTCATTGTCTTGCAATTTCTTGTAGTACTTAGTGAAGGCCTTCTTGAACTTATGCCAGTTCTTATACAATCTCCCCTTGCACTTATCACTCAAGATGGTTTTGAAGGTCTGGATGCCTTTGGGGTTTGCATCAGCCCATGATGCCTACAATGACCATAAGGTTATCTCCACCATGGCAGTGGCTTCAACTTCTTCCCTCTTATTCAACTTTGAGCTAGGCCTGTCTCCTTCTCAATTTTTGTGGCCTTATAGCCAAGAAAGGCTGTCAGTTGAATGGACTTGGTGGGGTCATCTTTGGGGAAGTTTTTTTTGTTTTGTTTTGTTTTGTTTTGTTTTTTACCTGTCCCCAGTGCCTGCTGCTTTGCTTTTGAGTCAGGAAGCCCAAAGACCCATTCCTAGGAGAAAAGAATTTCCAG